AAAACAGAGCTCCTCTGTACTTTGCAAAGGATTGCTTCACCGATAACTGTCTAGACGCTTCCCTATTTGGTGATAAATCAGACTGCTCCCATGAGTGCGCAATCCTCCATTACCTAATTCCAGCACCCTAAAAATAAAATTGATACATTAAACCGAACAGTCTACATGAGACAGTCTTAGAATCTTGGAATCTTCACTGAATTCTGACCCAAACCTACGCACAGCAACAACAGCTGAAGTTATCTAGCTGCCTTCGCAATGTGACTATTCCGCCTTTAGGTGCATTACATTGGTTTGGTTCCTTTCCAAAAATTGAAAACAATTTATTTTGTTAAGCTTAAATAAAAAATCATTAATGGTACTTACGAGAGTTGCCATCAACGTCAGCAGGGGTGTCGATGCGGTACTATTCATCATCTTCATCATCTCTGAAGAAGAGCATGTGAGAGAAGGGCTTCATCCATCTTTGGTAATGGATATGAATGACACGGAATCACTGATAATTACAAGTTCACCTTAACTATTCACTAAAAAAAAACTTCTTGAGCACCAAAACATGATGTGATCATTTCGTTGTTTACAAATTCAAATTTTGATTTTCTTTTAATTCTTTTTTTCTCTCTGGAGGTTAGGTTCGGTAGAAAACCGCGGGATGGATACGACACTCGAGAAAATTCCGGAAGATCGAATCCCCATTTCCAGAATGATCCAAAATGGTTATCAAAAAGTAAAATGAATCCGGATTTTTAACAAAAGTTCCGAAAATCTGAAAGATTCCGGGAAAAGTTCCGAAAATTTCGGAAAATTCCGGGACTGAGCATTGAATATTCCGAGGGCGGGATATCTCCTCCATTTTGGCCTCACTTTGAGAGCTTTTTTTGAGCTTGGGAGTTGATTTCAGGGAAAACCAGTGGCACCATCGTGTTTCTCGCGAACTTTTACATAAGAAACAACAGTCAAATCGCAAATCCCTCACACATGCAACATCTCCATTAGTCGGTGCACGTTCGACCTTTTCCAAATAAAATGCCTGTTTCACCGTAGATAGGCGTAGTCCGTCGCTACGTTTTAAGGAAAAAGTTTTATATACTATAAAAGTCCTATTTTGAACCACAAAACTGAACTACATACAGGGTCATCTAAAAGTCACGCACCGCCGGCCATAACTTTAGTTCTGAAATATGATATCGATTTGCGGTTTAAGACGCTTTTCCTCATATCGAGGGGACATTTTTTTTAGATTCTTTCCAGTTTTTGATCCCTTCGGGGGAAGGGGGCGGGGGGCAACTCAAAAATTTCAAATGGCCAGTGGTGCTTGATTTTTGAATAACCCTGTATTACTGTCTGTCGTGTATTTTAACTGGGATACCCAAGGTTTTGTGCAATAATCACGAAGCGCTATTCAGTAGAAGACGCTCATCTATTTCGGCCTTTCGCCATCCTTATCCCAATTTAAATACTTACTAAGAATATGAAAATACGTATCAGTACCCCAGAGTCAAAAAGCACCTGACTCCATTTTAGTCTTTTCGAGATATCTATGAAAATCGTGCGTCGGCCCCATTCATTCATGTAAATCCCAATTTTTGAAAGTACGTGTCGCACAACCTCATGATAGAGCTACCAAATTTTCCACACACACGAAACCGTTATGAGGATCTCGAAAACGCCACTAACTCGATTTCTCCAAAAATGAGAGTTAGGTACCTTTTGACTCTGGGGCTCTGATTTTTAGATGCTGCTAAACCCAGAACTCATTCAAAATACTGTCTGTTAATACCGTGGAACACCCTGCGGTCTAGTTTACTTCGTTTTGTTTATTTATTTATTTTTTTTTTTTTTTGCAAGTTGCACTTTAGATCTAAGGCGGAAAGCAGGAATGCCAACAGAAAGAACTCGGGTCATTATCCCGGCCGGCTTAGCTGTTTGTTTCTCGTTGCTCCCATTAGCCTTTCCGCGACACCGTCCTTTGCCGAACCGCAGCAATAACCGTCGGACTCGGCTCTCGAACCCCGAATGCCACCGTCCATCCGGCACCGCCGTACAGCCGCACCGGCGACGATGATTACTTCACTTATTGAGATCTTTCATTTTTAAATGTTTTCATTAAGCTACGAAGTTTCCAACTGCCGTTCGCGTTTTTAAACTTCTCACGCCCGTGCCTTTGTTCTTCCTGCAGCAGTGCCAGGCAACTCGTAGTGCCATTGTTCTATATCCTGGCTACGGTAGAAAGTCGCGTTATTTGAAGCTGGCAACAGGGCCCCTGCGCTTTTAATTTGTTCCGCGCCGTTGTTTCGTTGTGTCGCTTTTCTGCACGGCTCGCTAATTTTTATTATTTTGCAGCTTATCCTGCGAAAATCGGCCGTGTAGGCCAAGAAACGCATTGTTATGTTTGCAAAGGTGACAGTAAACAGGATTTAACTTGAAGAAACGGAGACCTTAAGTTTAAGTCGTCTACCTTTGAAACTTGCCCAACCTGGAAAAATGGGAATTTTTCGTTTTATTTTTGAAGGATTGTTGTTTTTAGGGTCAAATGCATCTTAAATTCGTCTAATTTTTTCTCTCTAATTTTACATTTGGTAGATACACAAAAAACTTTGTTTGTTTCGAAAACACTGGGTCAGTTGCACTGGTCACAGAATCGTGATTTGATGCTTAATCTTTGCGGATTAGCCAAAAATAATAAGATCCGTCCAAACAGCAACTTTCTACATTCAATATTAACCGAGATGTCGCGCTTTGAAAAACTCGAGGTTTATGACGTCATCCCCCATAGCAGTGGCACCCTTGCTTTCTTCCACCTTGTTTTCATCAGAGTTTTGAGTAATAACCATTGCAAACGTGTGTCTCAATGATCGATGAAAGGAAGGTGGAAGAAACCAAGGGTGTCATCAGCGCGGAGGATGCCGTCAAAAACCGAATTTTTCAAACCGCAGTATCTCGGTTAATATTGAACGTAGAAAGTTGCTGTTTAGACCGATCTTATTATTTTCAGCTTTTCTGCAAGGATCAAGTATCAAGCATGATTCTATGTGACTAGCGTAACTGACCCTATGCCCAACTCAAAGATTCAAAGTGTTTGTATTGTACACAAGTGAAGAACCAGAAAGTCTGATGTACTCGGCTGTTTGTCCTCGTCAACCATTTCACTAGCAGTGGCGTGGCGTGAATTACGATGTATCGATTGTTATGCCATTTAAACCTATGGTAAAGAATCGATCCCTAAGGTGTTTGCTGCGAACACCCTGCCTATCGATCCTTTTCCATAGGTTTAAATGGCATAACAATCGATATATCGCAAAGCACGCCACGCCACTGATAACATATTCTATGGCGTTAGGCACAAGTTGTACGTGCTTGCTTTTTTACGGAGAGACGCGCGAGGCTGAGGCTGGCAAACGAACGTATCAAAATATTTGAGCTCGATTTAAATAATCGAAGAAACAGGACGGGCGCATGAAACTTTCGTGAGGTTTTATAAGGCTCGACTTGGTTCTTATGAGGACGGAGGCATTACAATTTGTTCGTTTCTTGCTTGAGGACTGCCGCAGATAAACGTAACGTCTTGTAAACCCAGTTACGTTCCGGGTGTCGGCGTGGGGTTTCCTTGGAACTATAGTTGAGCCTACTCATTAATAACAATTTACAGCAGATGGGAACGCAAGTTTTCACAGCCTACAACCAGCCGAGAAACCCCTAAACAAGCGAGTTTCAGGATGCCAGCTACCGGACGGAAACTCCGTGTAGACTTAGAAGCGCTTTGCAAGGTTGTCAAATTACCCATTCGGTATTTTCGGATCGGTGAGGCTGAAGCTGTATCCTTCCAAGCCAGAAGTTTTCAGAATAAGTGACCGCAAGTCTTAACGGTTTCATATCTTCAGCATTAGAATGCCGGGCCACGCGTTTTTGGAACCAGGGTCGAATTTACCTTTTACACACTTAGAAATCGTTTCTACAATTACTTCGGGTTAGTTTCCTTTTGGGAAGGTCAACCAAATCGATTCAGTTGCTCAACACGTATTTTGTTTAAATCAATCAAAACATTAGGTTATCCTGGTTCTTGTTTTTCTCGCGAGACTTACGAACTCGGAACTTTTGGACAGTCATCGTGCAGAAACCCTAAAAATTCGACTATTTCAAGAATGCTTCAAGTGTGAGTCCTTCATCTTCGTTGGTTTTTTATTTGTTGCGTAGAATTGTTCATTCAACGTCATCTTGGAACTAATCTCGTTTTATACCACAAACGTTGAAAATTTGGCAATCCAGTCAGGTACTTGCTCGGATGGGATTTGTGTCTCTTCGGAGATGATAAATGTTCAGACCGCTCGTTGCGTCCTCTGGTGAGTAATCGTGACATCAGCGTACTCGGCGAAGCATGTGGAAGGAGAGCGCTCAGCAGGAAGAGAATCAACTAAAAATTATTTAGAAGGGTTTCGGTGTTGACAAAAAAGAATAAAAAAAATAGTCACGCATAAAGAAATAAAGAAAGGAACGTTTGTAGCAACTTGCCGCATTCTTTATTGTAAACTTACGCCCGGTTGCGAGGTAGATTCTGAAGCGGCTAGGCGTGAATGATCGATTTTCGATATTTTCCCATATGAAGCTGTGGATAAGAATTGATTTTTCAGGTGTTCGTTGCAAAAACCCTGCTTATCGATCCTTTTCCACAATTTTCAATGGCAGATCAATCGATTAATCGTCGAAATGTAATTTTTTGTTTGGAAATTATAGTACCTTGGGAGTCAAGCTAAAAAGTAAGATGATCAGATTATGTTTGCTAGGTAAACAAAGTTGCACCACAGTCGAAGCGACGTTGGAACGCTCTTGTTTCCTTTTTGCAAAATGCAATTCATTTTTTGTTTAATTAGATGATTAGAACTGGTAACAAATAAAGTGAAACTGTTTCAAGCAAAGTAGAAATTAAAGTATGTACCGAACTATATCGTGATTGCCTCTTGCGATACTATTGTCTATAAATCCATTTTTTTTTTTGGTTTCAGGTATGCTTGATTCGAGTTTTCTGTTCTACGCCTTAATGTAAGTCAGTTTGTTTCCTGCAAATCCTTTTTTTGTTAATTTTTCAAACTTGTTTTTTCATTTATTTCAAAGCCTAGACCAAATCACCCTGACCGTCGGGTTTGACAACAATTTTTTTTTTTAAGACATTTTATCTGAGTACAACGCAACTACTGCAATTGTTTCAATGTATCTATCTACATGATTTAAAACTAAACTATTTGCATTAAATTTACAGAGTATATAACAAAAATTAAAGAGACTTTCGAAACGAGTCCGAAGGCGAACCAACTGATTGATCTCTTTGTCAGGATACTCCGGTATCTCTGTTTTTGGTTAATCTTTTTAATTCGAACAGTTCGTTGATTAGCGTCGGATTTACAGTGAACTGTTGAGTGGTACACTTCCGTTGTCCTCAAGATGGCGGCAAGAACTCATCTTTAACATTGAAATTATAGGAGATCAAACGCCTGCAGGCCGATTACTAAAATTTCGTGTCGCTCTGGCGGATAAATTGTTAAATGTAGCTTTTTACCCGATCTGTGCCAGCCCCGTAAATCGTAGAGTTTTTTCCATCACAGTATACTGCTTGCTAAGGAAAAAATACCTTATGAACATTCGAACGCTGCCACATATCTCGTATGCCTGTGGTATATTTACTTCTGAAGCAACATATTGAAATGCTTTAGATTAATTTGTGACTAAAATTCTCCACGGAAATTTGGCAACATTGGAAGGACCTACGGATTTCTCAATTTGACGGCCTCTCGCCATACGCTCGGGGGTTCGGATATCGGAGATTGATTTGAAAATTGAAGTAATGCGGGTAATTTATTTGATAGGCTTATCCAAGCCCCATTTTGCCGATACAATCCGATTGTTCGCTGAAAGTGGATCCTTGCTGACCGTTAAACTCGATCAACGCGGCTGCTAAAGTCTGTTAAGGCTCATTTATTAGGATTTCAGATTGTAGCCGTGTGATCAATCATGGTTTTATGACCTGTTTACTTGGTTCGGCACTTTTTGTACGTAGCGTTTCTCCAATTGAAAACCCAATATTGTCGCAACACGGATTAACAACTTTTTTGAAACTTTTAATTTTAAATCTCCCTTAGTAAAATTCAATTTCCTCTCGTGGTATGTCCTTTGTCCTTGCGGACCCTGGAGAAAGCTAGAAAGTCAATCCTACAGAAGTTGCGAGGGCTTCTCTGGGACTGGAAAATTTGAGTGGGAGAGGCTCTTAAAACTTCAAGTATCTCACCCTACCAAATCCTACAATACACAGACGTCGCGTCAATGCGCACATCGAGACCGTTAGAAATTCATTCCCAATTTCACATTCCTCGTAAGAAAAAGAAGCGCAGTAGGGTGTTTATTTGTTAATTTGATGCAAATAAGTCACCCCCGGTTCACAGTACGAAGAAAATTCTGTGAAAACTTCAAGGAATGATGCCCATTTGCTCTCCTATAAAAGATTAATGTAGGAGCGGAGATTTTTAAACACCGCATACGAGATATGTAATTGCAGACTTACACCGTCGATATTGTTTTTCAATACACACAAGTTTTTCTTTTTTTTAAAGCTTTTCCTGTCATGTTCTCATAAAGGAAATGCGGGATTGATAGATTTTTTTAATAGTGCCTTTATAAGGGGAGAGGGTCAGAAAGTCGGTCATAATGTCCTATGCAACACTTTAACGACCCGTATACAACACGAATGAATCTTCTCTTTGCTCCGGCAAAAGTTTACACCAGACTCGCTAAAAAGAGGCAGGTCAGTGACCTTAAGAAAACAATCGTCTCGTAGACAGGAGCCACGAAGGATGCCCACAGAAGGGATCAGGGTCTTTGTGACGCGAATTTTACGCGGCCGAATCACGAATTTTCGCCCCAAACCTCCTCCCCACGCTTCTCTCTCTTCCGTCTCCTGCTTGCCATTCCCGCAGTATTCTCGCTGCTCTGAAAATAAATTTCCCAAGCGAAACGGCGCGGCGCGGCGCGGCGATCCTCTTGCCTCGCCAAATAATTGGACAGCATCAAGTGAATAGAGCCCTATCCTTATCTGAATTTCGACTCAAGCTGTCGCGTTCACAAGAAAACAAGAACCAGTCCGTACTTAAATTGAACATTTCTATCATGGACGACCTCTAGAATATAGCGATTCTGATAAAGCTGAAAATGGGTGGGGGATTTGCCGTTGTCCCCTAAAATAGCGTCACCCCTTAGTTTGCTCTTTGTGGTTTACGTTATGTGATTAAAGGAGATTTTTAGGAACTCTGAACATAGCGTTGTAGAAGGAAGAAATATAACGAAGCGCAAGTAAAATGAAATGGTTTAACTTTGCCGATAGACTCGTGTGAGGGATTACAGTGATTTGCCCCTACAAAAAATGTAAGCACACAAGAAATAGTGTTGCAGGTTTTGAAAATCTGAAAGTACAAATGTTTGTACTTTCCTTAAAGTTTGTATCTTAAAGCATCAGCAACAGTAGTTGGCGCAGAGATCAAATACTAATTGACAAGAGCAACTGCGTTGAGCAGTGCCTCGAGAAAGCCACAGCGTGGGACCATGGTAGATTTCAATGTTGTTGAAATGACTTAAGACTGCCCTCACCTCAGGGGGGGGGGGGGGGGGGAGAGAGAGGTTAATTTGCTGAAACCATACCTCCTCGTGGTATACCCCACGGATTATTTCACGTGAAAGAGTGAAAAAAATCAGGAACATCTGATTTTGACTTTATGTGAAGAGCACGATATTGGTGAAAATAATAGGATTTCACTACGTCATTGTAAGATGAATAACTTTATCTTAATCAATGTGAGGACATTGTAATGCTAAAATTACTTGCGCTATAATGTCGGATCTACCTGAAAATGTTTAAATTCACCCCCTAGGCCCCCCGAACAACCCCCAAGAAATATGTTGCGGGTCGCGTTTTTAGCGATTTTTTTTTCGGAATTCTGAACCTGTGACTTAAAATTGCCAGTGGTTAAGATCACCGAAATTTCACTGCTGAAATTTTTCGTGGGCTCTTTTATGCACCAACCACACACTTTCCAGGGGTAGCGCAAAAAAAAGGCAGTTTCGCTTCACCTTAGGGTGAGGGGGTGGGGGCTTCCCTAGAAAATGTCAGAATATTTGAAGCATAATATGCAGTTTGAGTCAATTTCGTCATAAATAATTACCAAATGTAAACGTCTCTCTCTCTCTTCTTTCCCGTGTTCCTCCCTTCTTTCTTTCTTTTCTTTTTCCCTTCGTTCTTTGGGGGCGAACCGGAGGGGGGGGGGCGCAAGCCCCTTAAACCCCTCCGACGAGAATGATTATGAAAAGCGAGGAAATTCCTCCACTGAACAAAATGTCTTTATCGACCCTACGTTACCGACCGAAGGTAATACTAAAAATAATTCGCGTTCATCTAATCTTACCGTCTCGTTATAGTGGCTCTTCTCATCAAATATCGCGTTTTAGGATCCTTTCGATTATTGCATAACGATTCCCTTGACGACTGTAAAATACCTATAGCACACAACTGCTTGTGTGAATCACGTAACGTTGAACCGTTTCTCTTTTTCTCCTTAGTCTCCCTCCAACAATCCCAAACTTTTCCTCAGAAAAATTCCAATTTATCTCGCTCATTTCGTTACACAACGCTTCGTCCGATATCTGTTCTTCTCTTCATTCAGTGCAACCCGAATCTTGGCACCTCCCCTCTTCTTGAGAGAGTTACACAATATATGAACAATCTTCTTCAAAAGTTCTTTACTCTATTCTTAAACTCAGGTTTATGAGACTCCGGGACCCAGGAGTTTTGAAAAAAAGACACATGTGCATTGGCTTTAGACCCCGAATATACGTCTGATGAAAACACATCAGAAACCAAAATAATAAGGAGCGGAAGAAAGAGATAGAAGCAAATGGAATTAGGAGAATAACTTTGGTACTTCAAAAAATTGCTGTGATCTCATAGTTTACATGCACAAAGTTGACCAAAAATACATGAGAAATCCAGTATTCTTAGTTCTAGTATTCTAGTATTCAGTTGAGAATGGTCATGTAATGCCGAAACGTCCCCGTTGTGTTTCTTCTATTTCCTTAGTCTTGTAAACCCATTTGTTTTGTATTTGATGTGTGTTTTACGTCTAGTATTCTACATACATGTACTCGAAATAATTGTACGGGAGTTTTGAGTTAAACTTTACTTTTTACTCCAATAGTCTCCAAATAGTACATCCTAAGAAATTTGATGCGCAAAATGATCTCAAAAATGTCTTTTAAATCAGAAAAGACGCTGTCTCTAGACTTTTTTTCCCATTCCCCGGAACTAGTACCGAATTTCGGAACTTTTTCTGACATTTTCCCGGAACTTTGGAAATTCCTGAAATGTGCCGGATCTTTTGCATTTTCCAGAACTTTCTTGGGACTTTTTTTTGTTTTTTGTTTTTTTTTACCACTTCAAGTAGCCCATAAGGGCCAATCCTGCGCTTTTACTCCCATTCCTCCTCCGTCCCCAACAACCAGTCCCAGGCAACTATTGTGTGAGACCATCAAACTCGAGTCGCCTAGCCGGGAATCGAGCCCGGGACCTCCCTATTCTAGAGCCAGCGCTACAACAAAAAACCAAAAAAATTGGAACCTAAAATTTTTGAATCCTGGAACTTTTGACGGACGTGAAATGGGAGCATTGCGTACTCTGTTACGTCTCCTTCGTCTATCAGTCCCAACAATTAACCCACAGAGGTGGTATCGGCGGCTTCTAGAACCCAAGGCGGGGTCATGGAAACTCGTGAGATTTCTCAGCGAGCCGGCAAGTGCTCGACAAGTTTACGATAAACCGATGAAAAGATTTATTGTGAGATTCGGCGCTCGGAAGTAAAGCGGAAGATTGCCCGCGATGCGATCGCTCGCACTCCGTTCCGCCGCGAAAGTTACGAGCCTCAAGTTTACGGATGGCTCCCAAGTTCGGGGGTCCGTCCTTTGAGCACTTGTTAACGACAATTTGCGAGCGGGGGGAACTCCGCTCC